ATTTTTATCGGCTGCGTCGCCGCGGCCAAGGGAGAAATGTAAGTAGGAAAGTGCATAATGCCGACTGGCTGTACACAAAATTTTTACGGCTACCTGCGAGCCGGACCAAAAATAAACGCAGTTAAACACGAAACGCCCTGAATACGATGCACATAATTCACACGTAACCCAAATTCTAAATATCGCGGCTGAACGCACACACTTGCAACTTCTACATCTATTCTTAAATTCTGGCATTGAATTTCTTTTCGCCAGTGCCGAACTTTTCCATAAGATAGCTGAAGTTCCTGCTCTATATATATTTTTCATTAACGGCATATCTTATCGTTAGCAATAGTTACGTATACGTAAGTACTTGGACACAATTGCCTCAACAATCGGCGAAAAATTATTGGCCAAAGCGGCCAATTAACGGAACCATTTTACGCAACTTCTTCGCTTCACCTTGAAATACATTAACTTAAGGCCAGAATGTGAGATAAAATACGAGGCCGAGGGACAGAATATTGGCTGGCTACTTGTGATACACGTGATAGTCGCATAGCAGCAGAAACTATTGTAAAGGAGGATCATTTACGAGAGTCAGAGTACGAATGTACTTCGGAATGTAGCATAAGAAGCAAATGTTGCCAACATATAGGTTAACAGGTGACAATCTGGTCAGAAAAAACTAGTTTTATATATATATATATATGATGAAGGAAACACATTCTTAGCAAGAATAATCAAACGGTTTACTGCAACATCCTGTGTCCTATTTGTCGATAAGTTTTGTGAAATCTGTCATACCGATCGTCGCGTGAAAAGTCAATGGTTTTGAGTTGCGTAAGCCGATGGCGCGACTAGTGATTGATTAAAGTAAAACAATTCAAGTTTCATTTCTCTACGTACAGACGGCTACGAAAATAATCCCGCGAGATCACACGTAAAGCGAAAAACATCCATGGTCGATGTTCTATTTGCGGTGAGTATCAAGGGAGCGGAAATGCTGAAAATTCATTCAAGAAACCATTCCAACCCGGCTGCGCGGATATTTCGTTCGCATAATTATCGTTTCGACCTTTGTGAACTAAAAATAGCGAAGTGTGGGTGTCGATTGCATTTTAACGAAGCGTAATCGTGGAATTCGCAATAAACAGCCGGCAGAGGTGTGTTCCGCGCGCACGGCAGCTTATCATCGCATAACAATCGGCTTAGTGGCGTACATATGCAGCGTGTGTGTGGGTCACCCGATTCCAATCTAAGATTTGGCGCACAGCCGAAACTTTTCAGAGGTTAACGATCCTCCTCTCTTCGCATTGAGGAAGAAATCGATCGATTGACTCGCCCATTTACTATTCACCTCGATCTTCGTACAGTTTCTGCCCTTTAGAACGGGTTCGTTGCTAACGTCAGAATGTTAACGTCTCTTTCATCTCATTTGGTCACATCCAAGGAAGAACAAGGAATAACTACAGAAGAATAAGTGCCGGTTAAATTTGGAAACGGTTGCCAATCGAAAAACATAAACTTCAATTATATGATCGAGATGTCTTCAATTGTGTGTATTATCTGTAAATATATATATACATATAGGGTGGCACATATTCGTTCTCAATCTTTTTTATTTTCTTTTTTCGCAGGTTATAGAGCATCCCTTACAAAAAAAAAAAAAA